TCTTCGCCTTTTTTTTTTTTTTTTTTTTTTTTTTGAGGCAGGGTTTCTTTGTGTAATAGTTCTGGCTATCATGAAACTCACTCTGTAGAGTAGGCTAGCCTTGAACTCACAGAGATCTACCTGCCTCTGCCTCCCAAGTGCTGGGATTAAAGGTGTGTGCCACCACTGCCCAGCTCAGCTTGCTTTCTTATAGAACTCAGGGGGCTGGAGAGATGGCTCAGTGTTTAAGAGCACTGACTGTTCTTCCAGAGGTCCTGAGTTCAATTCCCAGCAACTACATGGTGGCTCACAACCATCTGTAATGAGATCCAGTGCCCTCTTCTGGCCTGCAGGAAAAAATGCAGACAGAACACTGTATACATAATAAATAAGTAAATCTTTAAAAAAGAAACGAAACAACTCAGGACCACCTGACCCAGGGGTGGCACCACCCACAGTGAGTTGGGTCCTCCATTAATTGTTAATCAAGAAAATGTTCCCACAGGCTAGTCTGGAGAGGGGATTTTTTTCCAATTGTAGGTTCCTCTTCCCAAATGATGTAGCTGGTGTCAAATTGACAACAAAACAAAACCAAAACCTAAGCAGGACAGTGACACAGAAGAGAATCTGAATATTTTCTGGCACAAAAGGCTCAGAAGTCAGCTGTACAAGTCGGGGACATACGGGAATATGATGGTCTCCAGAAGCTATCTGCAAAGGAATTGACGGCCTGCCATTTTTGTGGCCTCCCTTATGGGATGGGCGTTATACTGGGTTTCATTCTGAATAGGATGCCCCTTGCAGTTGGGTGTGTTATGCTCCTATGGAATCCTAAGCTCCAAGTGGCAGGACACATCTGTATTAATCATCATTCTGTGTCTGTTGCCAGTATGGTGCCTGGCACATATGTATGTCTCTATAGAGACAGCACTCATGTCTGTGTATCAATAAAGCTGCTTTTTGGGGGGAGGAAACCAAGACTCAAAGATGGGGACTTAATTGCACAGAGTAGCCCAGTCAGTACCTGAAGCCTTAGGTGGTAACAGCTGCCTGTCATCTTCCCTGATCTTGGGACCTTTCCCATTCCCATGCAGGTGACATCATCCAGAAGATCATCCCCAACCATGAGCTAGTCGGGGAGCTGGCAGGGTTGTATCTGGAAAGCATCAGCCCAAGCGCTCGAAACCCAGCCAGCATGGAGCCCACTGTGCCTAGTGCCGGCCCTGATTGGGACCCTCAGAGTGGGAGCTGTCTCCAGGATGATGGACACTCAGGGACCTTTGGGAGTGTCCTGGTTGGAAATCGCATCCAGATCCCTGAGTCTCAGCCTGAGAGTCCTGGACTGCTGGGCCCCATCTCTGGAGTGGGTGGTGGGGGTCTCAGCAGCAGGAGTGAAGACAATGCCCTGAAGCGGGAGCTGCCCCGGAGTGCCCATGGGCTGAGCGGGAACTGGCTGGCATACTGGCAATATGAGATTGGTGTGAGCCAGCAGGATGCCCACTTCCACTTCCACCAGATCCGCCTGCAGAGCTTTCTGGGCCACACAGGAGCTGTCAAATGTGTGGCTGCCCTGAGCAGCGAGGACTTCTTTCTGAGTGGCAGCAAGGATCGTACTGTACGCCTCTGGCCACTATACAACTATGGGGATGGGACCAGTGAGACAGCCCCCCGCCTCATCTATGCCCAGCACCGAAAGAGTGTCTTCTACGTGGGCCAACTTGAGGCCCCTCAGTATGTGGTGAGCTGTGATGGGGCTGTGCACGTCTGGGACCCCTTCACAGGTGAGCGGGCCCAGGTGAGGCCTGTTCTGTGGCTGCTTTACTGTGCCTTTGCCAGGCCGCTGGGAATAGGACCCTAGTGGGAAATACATAATAGTATATTTCGAGGGGGAAGATTGCTCAAGGTGGGAACAATTAGGGATTAGGAACTGGGACCTGAGTTTGAATCCGCTCCCCCAACTTAGCAGCAAGCTGCTCTGCAGCAGGAAGCATCTACTTTTCACCTGTGTGAATCAAAAACACTGGTCCGGAGATTCTGCATGTAGGGCTCATACAGCATTACTTGCCGTCACTGCAAAGAGAACTAGGGAATGGAGAGGGAAGGGAATGGAGTAGCATCAGGGCAGACAGGTGGTCCAGCTGCTTAGAGCATGCTGTATGAAGAGAGGAGAGTACTTTGGGTGTGGGACCCTGGCTTGGCTATGGAAACAGGAAGATGAGAAAGCCCTGAAATTCTGTGGGTTACGTGAGAATGGCATGCAGGCATGGGGTGAGTCAGGACTTAAAGTAGCCAGGGCTCTTGGATACTCACTAGACCCCCAAATGTACTGTGTCCTTTTTCAGGGAAGACCCTTCGCACTGTGGATCCTTCAGACAGCCGGGTGCCCCTGACCGCTGTAGCTGTCATGCCTGCCCCCCACACCAGCATCACCATGGCTAGCTCTGACTCCACCTTGCGCTTTGTGGACTGCAGGAAGCCTGGCTTGCAGGTCAGGAGGTGTGCAGTTCCCTGTGCCCTAGCTGGGGGTCTCTAGGAGCCTGTCAGAGGACTCCTGCAGGAACACTGTGATAGGAAGCTCTATGGGTGGGGCTCTATGATGGACTGGAGTCCGGGAACTTTCCCTTCCATGCATGGAATGGGAGGGTCAGGTCTCCTGGCTTTGTGGGCTTGAGTGGGATGGATGGAAGTAGGGTAGGGGATGGTGGTGGCTGGCACTTGAGCACAATCTCCCTCTGCCTACAGCATGAGTTCCGACTAGGTGGAGGGCTAAACCCTGGGCTTGTTCGCTCCCTGGCAGTCAGCCCCAGTGGCCGTAGTGTTGTGGCTGGCTTCTCCTCGGGCTTCATGGTGCTGTTGGACACCCGCACAGGCCTGGTTCTACGAGGCTGGCCAGCCCATGAAGGAGACATTCTACAGATCAAGGTGACTGCCTTAGGTCCCTCCTTTCACCTCTGCTTAGAGCCTGGCCTGAGTGAGGACAGGATTGTGCCGGTATCTCTTATACCTACTCAGGGACATCTGATGGGCAGGGAAGGTGGCTCTTGTAGGGCAGGGAACCAAGGCTAGAACTGACCCTGCTGCTCCGTGGGGATGTTATAATGAGTAACCCTTGTCCATATTTGTCTTGCTTGGAGGATCAGGGGTCACGCCCTGTCCGTGACCCAGTTCAGGTTAAATAAAGCTAAGCCTGGAGGCTGTTTACTGCCTGGAGACCACTGAGCAGAGTCCATGCCCCCTGCTGGGCTGTCTTGATGGGGGCAGGTTCAGGCCCAGGCATGGGCATCATGCTCCTGCCTTCTGTATTCAATCACAGGCCTCCGGGAATGCTCAGGAAGTCCAGGGAGGGCAGCTTGTGGGAAGATTTCTCCCAGCAGCTGGAACTCTCCTCCCCAGCATGTTCGGAGGCTAAGGCCATGCTACTGGAGAATGTAGGCTGCCCTCAGCTCTGTCCAGAGCCCCAGGGGGCCCTAAATTCCAACATTGTCAGAAAGTGTCAGCATGGCTGTGGGGTCATCCTGTATCAATCCCGGTTCTTTTGTAAAGGGAGAATGGTGCCTGATGCTTTCAGAAGATCCCAGTTTGGTTCTCAGCATAAGCATCCAGCAGCTCCGAACCTACCTGTGACTCCAGCGCCAGGGGTTCAACACCCTATGGCCTCTGTGGGTATCTGCCCTCATGTGGTACACACACACACACACACACACACACACACACACACACACACACACACACACACACACACCAAAAAAAGTTAAAAGAGGACAGTGGCAACATGTACTCTGCAGGTTTTTAGGGAGGTTAGATGTGGTGACACAGGCGTGTGTAACACAATGCCTGAACAGTTGGAATTTTTTTCTTTAAATTTTTTTTCTCCCCGAGACAGGGTTTCTCTGTAGGTTTGGAGGCTGTCCTGGAACTCTCTTTGAAGACCAGGCTGGCCTCGAACTCATAGAGATCTGCCTGCCTCTGCCTCTCGAGTTCTGGGATTAAAGATGTGCGCCACCACCCCCTGGCTTCTTTTAATTTTTAAAAGACTCACATTTATTTATTTTGAGGCAGTATTTCTCTATATTGCCTTGGAACTCACTATATAGAGTAAGCTGGCCTTGAAATCAGAGAGATCCCCCTGCTTTTGCCTCCTAAATGCTGGGATTAAAGTTGTATACCATCATGCCTAGCCATTTTATATATAGAAGTGGTTTTTTGGGGGGGGGTTGGTTTTTTTGTTTTTAGGTTTTTTGTTGTTGTTGTTTTTGTGGTTTGTTGCTTGTTTTCTTTGTGTAGCTGTGGCTGTCCTGGAACTTTCTTTGTAGCCCAGGCTAGCCTCGAACTCAGAGATCTTCCTGCTTCTGCCTCCTGAGTACTGAGATTAAAGGTGTGTGCCACCACCACCGCTTGGCTTATAGGTGTGTGTATGTGCACTACTTTATGCCAGTGCTAGCAGAAGTCAGAAGTGAGTGTCAGATCCCCTGGAACTGGAGTTACAGATAGTTGGGAGCCATCATGTGGGCGCTGGGAATTGAACCTAGGTGGTTTGCAAGAGTTAGGAAGTACTCAACTTTTGAGCCATCTTGCCAGCCCCATATATATTTTTTGTGTGGTGTGTGTGTGTGTGTGTGTGTGTGTGTGTTGGGGGTGGGGGGGTTTTCTATATAGTGTTGGCTATCCTGGAGTAGAGTCTACTGTTAAATGAAAGTAATGGTTACAGGTTTTTTGGTTTTTTTCTTTTTTGGTTGATATGTTTCATTTGTGTTTTTAAGACAAGATCTGCAGCACTTGGGATCTCTGAGTTTGAGGCAAGGCTGGTCTACAGAGTGAGTTCTACGACAGCCAAGGCCACACAGAAAAACCCTGTCTTGAAAAACCAAACCAAAGCAAACAAAGACAAAGTCTGACTTTGAACCCCTAGGTGGCTTGGAGCTTACTATGTAGACCAGGCTAGCTTCATTTGTTTTCAGAGTGTTGGATTTATGGTCTTGTTTGATTCATGGCAACCATCTTGCCCAGCCAGTGATAGTTAACATTAATAAGAATATATTTAATTTTTCTTTTGGAGACAAGGTCTTATTGTATATCTCCCAGACACAGGCTGTGTAGACCAGGCTGACCTTGAATTCACAGGGGTTGGCCTGAGTGAGTGAGTGAGTGAGTACTGAAATTAAAGACACTCTGAGATGGTCGTGGAATTTGGTGGGTAGATGGGATCCCTAGGCCCCTACTGAAGCTGTCTGCCCCCTCCACTCTACAGGCCATAGAGGGCAGCATGCTAGTCAGCTCGTCTTCCGACCATTCCTTGACTGTGTGGAAGGAGCTGGAGCAGAAGCCCACACACCACTACAAGTCAGCGTCCGATCCCATCCACACCTTCGACCTGTATGGCAGCGAGGTGATCACTGGCACTGTAGCCAACAAGATTGGTATCTGTTCCCTGCTTGAACCACCCTCTCAGGCCACCACGAAGCTCAGCTCCGAGAACTTCCGTGGCACACTCACTAGCCTGGCCTTGCTGCCCACGAAACGCCACCTCCTGCTGGGCTCAGACAATGGCATCATCCGCCTCCTGGCATAGGTCCAGGCAGGAGTTGGCTAAAGGCAGAGGTGAGATGACACCCCTGATCTTCTTGATCTCTCAGCAGCTCCCTTTATGCAAGCCCCAGGCCCTGGGTGCCCACATGGCCTGCCATCTGGGATCACACAGCTCCTGAATCTCCAAGGCCATGAAGTGGCTTCATTCCTGAAACTCGGGAGATGTTGTTTTAACCAGCAAGAAGGGGAACAGGGAAAAGCACCATGATCCCCATTGTTCCCCAACTCCACCTTCTGGAATCACAAGGACAGGGAAGCTCCAGGAAATGAAGGGAGATGGGTCTTGCTCAGCCAGTTTCTTCTAGCCAACTTCTCCCCAGCTCTGTCTACCAAGGATAGGAAACTACTCCTACCCAGGGTACTGATGGTACCTGGACTCCATCCTAAGGAGGGCTGGCCATGACCCAGGAGTTTAAGGGCTTTGTCTGGGGTTTCAGTATCCACTCTGCCAGGTCTTCCCAGTGTGGGACCAGAAAAAGGGGGGAAAGGGGAAGCAGGGCCAGAGAAGAGGTTACATGGCCCCAGCTGGTCCAGAAATGAATCCATGCCTTGCCTTGGTGCCCCTAACCACAGTGTTTGTGCCTTGAGCCAGGGAGGCAGCCCTTGGGGCCAGCACCCCTGGGGAGAAGGGGCAACAGGAATCATCTCTGCATCTCAGGTCCCTCCCAGGAGAAGGGAAGATCCTGGCATCTCTTGAGTCCCCATTTAGAGGAGAGAAGCAGTCTGAGATGTGGCCCCTGCTGCCTCCTCACTGTTTGCAATTCATGTAAATATGATCAATAAATTCTTTGGAAGAGCCATGGAGCTGAGTGAGGCTGTGTTGTGTTTTGTTTTACCTAAGCTGGGCTCAAGCAGTCTGCCTCAGCCTTTCAAGGAGGTGGGGTTACTGGTGGGTATCACCATGTCTGGCTTATGGCTTGTCCTTGATTTTTTGAGATAGTCTCATGTAGTTCAGGCTGGTCTCAATCTGAGACCAGCCTGAACTGGTCTCAGATTGAGACCATCCCAAGACCATGATTGAGACCATCCCAAGACCATTCTTGGGATGACTCTCTTGCCTGAAGCAAAGTCCTGAGATTATAGGCATAACACCAGGCCCAACTTTTGTTTTTTTTTCGAGACAGGGTTTCTCTGTGGCTTTGGAGGCTGGCGTGGAACTAGCTCTTGTAGACCATGCTGGTCTCGAACTCACAGATATATGCCTGCCTCTGCCTCCCGAGTGCTGGGATTAAAGGCATGTGCCACCAACG